GCCGAGCCGAGCCGAGTTGTTTTTTTCTTTTATTTAATTTTTTTTTAAGTTTAGATGTATTTTTTTATATGTTAATATTTAGTTATTATTTATAATACGTATAAATTGTACAAATTTCAAATACATTATAAAAATTTATAGATTTATGACGAATTAAAAAAACACGAGCTGACTCGACCGCTAAGGCTCGAGTTGAAAGCTCGGGCCGAACCTCTTTTTTTGGTCGAACTTTTGCTCGGCTCAGGCCCAGAAAAGCTCGGACCTGTTTTACTCGAGTCGAGCCCGAATTTTGAGTTTCGACTTGTGACTCGACTCGTTGACATAACTACGGATTGTGGTCTTGGGCTTGACTTGGGCCAAGTTGATATATTTTTTGATAAAATAATATTTGAATTATATTATATTATTTTTATTTAAAATAATAATATATTAATATTATTTTTCTCTGATTTTTCTGTGCGGGACACGTGAATTCTTTTAGAAGATGGCTGTTGGCAATTGACACTTAAAACTGCATGTCCAAACGGTTTGTGTCTGTTGAAGACAACTTTTCAACCGTTGTGTCTTTTGGACACAACATTTCAACTTCTATAAATAGGTCATCATACCCCGATTTTCATTCATTCCAAAATCAATTCTGATTTTTATTATTCCAAAATTATTTTTTCGTCCCTGTATTATTCATATTTGTAATTCAGCCTCTAAAGTTATTTTTGTGCATTTAGTCCTCAAATTTTTAGAGAGATCAAAACGTGAGTATGTTCGTTGGGTCTTGTAATTTGGAGTGCTACTATTACAAGTCGAGGTCGTTGTATCTTGAGAGACGAGTGCTTGAATACCGTCAGCACCAGTGCTATGCATTATCGTCTTAAAGAGAAAGAGTTGAACTCTTACCTCGACCATTAACATTTTATATCGTTCATTTTTGCACGACGTTATTTTGCCCCAAATTAATTCATAGTGATATAATTATTTGCCAACAATTACTTTACAATATAGCACTTTTAAGTTTTTCCCCCTGACTTTCGTGCATTTTAGACTTGCAAGAAAATTAGCAGAACAAAAAATCATCAAATCGATAGAAAAGTTAATTGAAAATTATTTACATGTTCAATCAATGTGTAGGGATGGAAATGTCAAACTATGAAGTTCAAAACTGCCCATCTTCATTCAACCTGGGCCCGAAGAAACTCATTTAAAAATGTGGACAATACAAGAATTAAGTATTTTCAAGATCTCAATTCATAGTTGATAGTTACAATTTTTTCTTTCAAAAACTGGATATAATTAAAATTCCCAGTATTAAATAATACTAACAAAATTATTTTATATATCCACCAATTACAATCTACCATCTCAAGTCCTAATTATTTCTCAATCTTTTCTTTCTATCTCTATACAGCCGACTCCATTGTATCTCTCATTCCTTCTCTATATTTCAGCACTCTTCATTCTCTTTACCTTCCACCTCCGTCAGTGAGGCACACTTTCTCTCCCCTTACTCTTTAGAAGCCTTCGGTGACGGAGGTTGCAGAAATCTATTGTAGCGGTGATTTTTTCTCATATATATGCGTGATCTATTGCAGAGATTACCTTCCACAACCGTCGACGAGATGCTCTCTCTCCCATAACTCTCTAGACGTCGCCGGTGACGGAGGTTGCAGAAATCTACTTGCAATGGTGATTTTTTCTCATATATATGTGCGGTATGTTCAGATGGTGTGATGCGGTATGATGGTGGCATGGTTGTTGTGGTGGGTTCAGATGGTGTGTGGTGGTGTTGTGGTTGATGCAATGGGGATGTTGGAGATTTGCTATGGCGGTGGTAGTTGTGATGTGGTTACTGTGATGGTGATGTGGTTGCTGTGATGGTGTGGCGGTGGTGATATTGGTGGTGGTCGTGACAGCGGTGGCGATGGTACGGTGGTCGTGGTGGAATAAGATGGGGTGGGGGGTGTTTGTGACCAAGTATTTGATTGATTGTGACAAATAAATAATATGTGATCTAAAAAATGTGATTGTGACTCACAATTTATGAAGTTGTGATAGAAAAATAACTTGTAATTGATTAATTTGACAATTTGTGACCGTTACATAAGTTGTGACTTTTTGATTTGATATCAATAAATAAATTGTGATCTATAAAATTTTTGATTTGTGATTGATGAATAAATTGTGACATATAAAATTTTTGATCTGTGATTGAGAAATAATTTGCCATCAATTAATTCGATAATTTGTGACCAAACTGTATACAATTGTGACTTTAATATATTTAATTAATAAAATATATATTTAATTAATTATTTCACAAATAAAATTTAATAATATACGATTTTTTAAGTTTTAAAACTTGTTTCTTATTTTTGAAATGAGTTATAATTAAACTCTTAGATATGAAATTTCTCCTTTAAAAATGAGAAAATTAGTCCCACTACTCTTAAAAATAAGATATTAGATTAATATCTTTAAAAGTGATTAGAGTTACAAATTTCCACATTAATTACGTCCAAACTGATTTTGTCACAATTTTTAATTTTTGTCACTTTTTTGAATTTCGTGTCACTTTTTGTTTAATAGTCGTTATTTTCTCTGTTTATATGATTAAACGTTAATCATACCACAGAAAAATTGGTTTAAAAGAACATGCTCTTTAAAAATATTGACATTGCATATCACTTTTAAACACTTTGAACTTCATAAAATTGCTGTCAAATTTAACTTATGTGTGTCGAATTGCATATCCATGAGAATAATTTCAACTTGGTCTCTTTTTAATAGCGTCAAAATTTAAGTTCTTAAAAAATGATATGATATGTCACTTTTATATTCGCTGTTTGGTTCCCAGTCGTCTCCATGACAAATGAAAATGTTAATTTTATCTATATCTGTAAAAAGAATACAAATGAAATACATAAATAGTATGAGATTTTTTAAAAAAAAAATTAAAAGTGATAGAGTATGTCAGTATGTCACCTTACTCATGTGCAAAAAATACAAATAAAATATTACACCATATCACTTTTTAATATAAAGCAAAGTTTGAATTCATATTCATATTTAAAGTTTCACAAATACACATGTACGCATTCCTTTAATTGATTATAAAAATTTTAAATGAGATAAGCTTCAACATCTTTAGAAAAATGCGATAGAGAATGTCACTTTCAAATTTTAACATATTAATTTATATGCAAAATACAAATTAAAGTATTATATCATGTCACTTTTTAATGTAAAACGATGTTTCAATTCATATCCATATTTAAATTTTCACAGACACATGTATGCATCTATTTAATTTATCTTGAAGAATTCAAATGAGAAAGATTGCGATTTTTTTAAAAAGTGACAGAGAACGTAACTTTCAAGATTTAACATAAAATATTATATCATGCCACTTTTTAATATAAAACAATGTTTCAATTCATATTCATGTTTAAATTTTCACAAACACAAATGTATTCATATATTTAGAGGGTGTTTGATATGAATTAAAATTAGATTTTTAGTAGATTTTGATAGAGTTTTTGAAATGTGTTATTGAAAAGTTGTGGGACCCATGAAATGTGTGGTTAATATTGATTGTTTGACTTTAATTTGAATTAAAATCAAATTTTTATCTGGACCAAATATGGACTTAATTAATACAAATGAATTCAAACGAAACAGATTGTGACATTTTTTAATAAAAGTCATATAGGGCACCTTTCTCATTCTTATTTTCACTAACATTTTACATGCATCACCCGAATTAATCAAAAGTTGATTTTTCATATATATTTCAATCAAATTCGTACAAATCTAAATTTTATTATATACTAACTTAAAATTATTAATGTGTAATTAGCACATAATATCCACACATTTCATTATTATTGTGAAAAACGTCCATACCTTTCATTTTTTGACATTTTCACCATTCATTGCGCAAAATGTCATTTTCACACATTTTATTAATTAAAAATTGTGAAATGACGAAATACCATTTCCTTTAAATAAAACAAAAGAAAAAAGAAAAAAATAATTGCAATCATAGTCCCAATTTTTTGAAAAGCGCAAATAAGTCCCAAATCGAAAAACGTCAATACCTTTCATTTTTTTGGCATTTTCACCCTTAATTACACATTTGATTATGCAAATCACAATTTTCATTCAATTTCTCAATAAAGAACTGTAAAATAATGAATATACCCTCATATTTAATTTTTTTTAAATTTCTAATAATTTATTTGAGACTTGTTTGCACTTTTAATTTTTTTAATTTTTTAATTTTTAAATAAATTTAATTCGAACTCATTTACACTTTTCATAAAAAAAATTAAAATTTTAAAATAATTTATTGGGGATTCGTTTGTACTTTTTTTTCAAAAATTGGGACTATGGTTGCAATTAATTCTTTAGCTTTTTTTTTTTTAATTTAAATAGGAGGGTATATTCCTCATCCCACCGTTTTTTATTGAGAAATTGGATGAAAATTGGTAGAAATGATGGTTTGAGCTATCAAATTATAATTAAGGGAGAAAATGCCAAAAAAATAAAAGGTAGTGATATTTTTCGCTATAAGAGTGAAAGGTCGGGGTATTATGTGATAATTACCATTTTAATAATTTATTAGAGACTCATTTGTACTTTTTTAAAAAGTTGGGACTATATTTGCAATTAATTTTTTTCTTTTGTTTTATTTAAAGGGAGGGCATTTTTGTCATTTCATAATTTTCAATTGAGAAAATGGATAAGAAAGACCTTTTATGCAATGAAATGTAAAAATAACGGTTAAAATGTCAAAAACAAAAGACGGGGATGTTTTCCATAATAAAGGAGGGGACGTTAAGTCCTAATTCCTAAAGATCCCTATCCTCTCAGCGCTCACAGTAAATCAAGGAAAGATATACAAAAACTGCAAACAAAATTGTAAGCAACCAGTAATCAGCCATGTCTATTTCTCTATGCAGCTGGTTCACTCCGATCATTTCCCACCCCCACCAAAGAATCCCACTCTCGAAACCCGTCAACCCTATTAGCATTTCCGCTAGGCCAAATATTTCAAATTCAAGATTTCCCATTAAATGTTATTTACATGGAAATTCTGAACAATTACATTCGACTCCAGCAAAACCCAGATGGGAAAGTTGGTTGGCCACTGCAGCAAGCTTGTATCCTCTTTATGTGACTGTTGGAGGGGCCATTGCTTGCTTAAGACCTTCCACTTTCTCTTGGTTCGTGAAGGCTGGCCCCACTTCTTATAGTTTGACACTTGGGTTCATTATGTTGACTATGGGTCTTACCTTGGAGCTCAAAGACTTGATCAATTTGTTCATGCGAAGGCCTCTTTCTGTGAGTTGTCATAAGGCGACTTTTGTCTGACTTTGATTTTGAAACTTGAAATTGTGTGCTTGATTAATGTTTCGATCCATTATCAATGCTTTAGTGGCATGTCATTATTTTTTCGAAATCCATAGACAATACTGGAGCATTATTTGGTTAATTCTCTGGAGAAGTTTGAAGTAGTATTAGTTTCTTGGACCAATAAACCACTAGAATGAGATGTCTAAACTGCGCTGCTAATTGAGTTGGCATCTAAAAATTAACTGATTTTGAAACCGAGTTGATTCCATTTTTAAGAAATTATCTGGAGATTGCCAAAGTGTTTCCCAACAAAATTTATTCATTGAAAGTTCTAAATTGCAATGTTATGGGAGAGATGTGCTTGTAAGATTTGGGATTTGGTTATATTCCAAACTTGCAAATCTGAAATATTCATGTTTAAGTATTCATTTCCTTGTTTAGGATCACTTTATCTGTTACGACTTATTTTAGAGTAATGCCAAGACTCCAAGTAGCATATTCTTCAAAGACAGAGAAGTGTTTGTCATGCAGTTTCACATTGTTCACTCTATTTTAATTTTGGTGCTTTTGTTTAAGAATACTCACCCCAGCAGCCATGGACGTTATCTACTCTTCTTCCTGTTAATTCCAGATTAGTAACTTTTACAGTAGATATTCTTCGACTGTTACTGTTTCACCAAAAATGATCGATTGGAAGTTCTGTTATTGAGAGTTAAACTTTTATGTTTACTCTTGGAAAGTGAATTGAGGACAGTCTCATGAAAATCCCTTTTTTTTTTTTTTTGCATTTTAGATGAGCATCTTAGTAACCTCAGGAATATGAAACTATTAGAAGAAAGGTCAGTTGAATGTTTCACGCATGTGGTAATCTATTTAGCTTCTGCAAATAAACTACAGAAATAGTTTATCATGGATTAGGATTCCAAAAGTCACCATATCTGTGAATTCTTTTCTTTCAGATACTTTTTGGATGTGCTGCACAGTATACAATTATGCCAGTCTTTGGAACGATAATTAGCAAGTTTTTGGGACTCTCACCATCTCTTTCAGTAGGTTTGATATTGCTTGCTTGTTGCCCAGGAGGTACAGCGTCCAATGTGGTACGATCTATCCTTTCTTGTCATCTTCTTTTGCATGTATGGTATTTCTCTTTTACTTTTTCATTGTAATGGTATGAACTAATCAAACTGCGAAGGGTTTTGTATGAGAGCAAGCTGATTTTTATTAGTTACAGCTGGGGCCTAGAGTCAATTGAAACCAGTCTTTACTTAATTTGCAAAAATCTTGACTGGATAAGTACTAAAAAGAGTGTAAAAATAATTTCAAAAGATGCTTTCAATTTTTTTTCTTTGATCGGTCATTACAGAGCTCTCAATATATAACCGATAGGTTCTTGATGATTTTCCAATAAGTTAGTCAATACCTTTAAGAGTCGTCTATTATGACACTTTAACTTCATATACATTACCCCTGTGCTCTGTATTTATTGGGTTGCATTCACAAAGCCAATTGAATATAATGGACTTCCATCGCCTCTGTTCCTTTCAGTGGCTTTATCCGAATGAAAGTTAAAATAAGTTTCTAGTTCAATCACTTTTATTGTGTCGATAATTATCTTAACATTATTCATATCTTAAACAATCACAGTCAATATAATCTAGCTCTTCGTATGAAGACAAAAAGTAGTTTGTGCCTTTTTTATGATATCACCCAATTATCTAAAAGAAGAGGTAGGGGACTAGGGCCTAGTCTCTTAACAGAATAACTTTTTTTGTCCTCAGCTTCTTATTAACTGATTTGCTTAACGACAAGTTAAGGGATATCATCCAGTTATCTAAAAGAATAGATTTCTTAACCGAATAACTTCTTTTGTCCTCAGCTTCTTATTAACTAATTTGCTTAACCACAAGTCAAGGGACATGGATGATGACCTTCTATGTTCTTCCCTGTCCATATTTAAGCAATGAAGACATTGAGTCCAAGTTGAAAATTCAGTTCATCCAAGTTGTCAATAGCTGGTTTTCTGAATTTCTCACCTTTGTTATGTTCCTAAAACTTCTTTCTGCTGGAGGGTGAGATTGATGTTGTACTGTAATAACCTGAGTTCATATGTCTTTGAACCGCTAGAAGAAAGGGATGTTCTTATTCTTATATTAAGAAGACAAATTAATTCATAACGGGCAACTTATATGCACATGAAATTGACTTCTTCTCTCTCTCTCTTTTTTTTTCGTTTTCGTTTTTGTTTTTGTGAACAAGGATAACTTTAGATGATCATGGTTTAGGTGGAGGCGTGGAGCACACCACATTCTCTTGCTACTGTATTTTCTTAGTCTATGCTATTCCATTAAAGCGTTAATTTGATTCTGCAGTTCCAGTTCTGAGATATTAAAAATAAACATACACAAACTTCCAATTCATTTTCTTTGTTGTAAATAGCATTACAGGTAACCTTAATTGCTCAGGGAGATGTACCATTATCGATAGTGATGACAATATGTACCACACTTGGAGCCGTGATTCTTACTCCCCTTTTGACCAAGATTCTAGCAGGAGCTTATGTTCCTGTGGATGCTATTCAACTTTCCATTAGCACCATGCAGGTGACATTATCCATCTCTCCAATTTTATTTCTTTCTTTATGTTTTTCATGATCACGACTTTCTGTATAGGTGGTGGTTGCTCCACTTCTGCTAGGATCTTACTTGCAGAACACATTCCCTGAAGCTGTGAAAATGTTGACACCATTTTCACCGCTGCTAGCTGTGTTAGCTTCATCACTGCTTGCTTGCAGGTCCTAGTTATTGAATTTGAATTCTACTTACATTTTTAAAAAAGTAAAAGTTACTTCTATGTAAAACTTTCGTTTCCAAACATGGTTTGATACGCTACAATATTTTCGTACTTTTAAGCAAAAAAGTTGCTTATTTCGAAAGTAACTTTTACTTTACGGCCAAAATAAGTAACTTAGGCTCTTTATCTCTTAATTTGGAGTTGCTTCACTCCGTAATCTCCCTGGGACCTTCCAGTTTCCACCACTCCCTTTTTCTTTCCTGCCATCTTAGTATGTTGTCTTTGTTTATTTTTCAGTGTGTTCTCAGAAAATGTTGTACGTCTGATGTCTTCGGTCTTTGGTGCATCATTAGCATCTGATCTACCTCCCCTTCAACGTGCTCGAGCAATACTCTCTGGTGACTTGGGGGTTATAGCACTTTCAGTAGTGTTGCTGCATTTTGCAGGTTTTTTTGTTGGGTAAGATTTTCTTTTTGTTTGTTTTATTAGTGATCTGAATCTAATCTTGCATTCTTCATGAAAAAAATGGCAGATTATAATTGAAACTACGATGCAAAATGAGAAAAAAGGCTGAAAAGGATAGTGCATTGGTGCTTTTTGCCAAAAACTTTTTTTTTTGCTTTTCCTTATATTTGCAAAAGTATATTTGTGCTTCTTTGACTTCATTTTTCTCTGGCATTCTACCTATCAAATAAAATAAAATTTCTCTGGCATTCCTAAATTTCTGTGCCAGTACCTACCATGGCACCACTTCAACCTGAAATGTGGAAATATCTTTTCCTGATGTGGCATCCAAAACAACCCCCCAGCTCTTATTGACAAAAAATTTTTGATGCGTCAATGAGAAGGATCTAGCCAATAGGCTATTGCAAACAAAACCAAAGCCCTTTTTTATGGTACAATTCTTATCAAATAAGTAATTGTTGGAACTGAAGTGTTTAAATTCCTATAGTATTGGTGAAGGGTTTTAATTTTTATAGTATTGGTTTGAGATTGTCACCTTGGCCTGATTTACATCATTGACTGCGTGCTAGCAGTTTATAACATAAATTTCTTGAATGCTTTCTCCATCATGGTCTTGATCAGGATGCAATTCACTTGTTCCAAATTTATTTGCATGTAATAACTTTTGAGATTGAGCACCTCATGCCAGCAAATGGTCAGCTATAGAAAGTATTAATTTGTCTATTTCTAGTAGCAATACTGTGTATTAAGTAATCTTGGAGACATAATTTAAATAAACAAGTTTAATAAAAATTCTCGAATTTTTCATTAAGAGGTAAAGGATTAAATCCTTTAAAGAAATAAAGTTTTTGATTGGTCTTATCACTCTCTAACAGATTAAGTTCTTAGATGAGGTGTTTCCATATGGTATCAGATTAGAGAAAGGTCCCCTAGTGTCTTTTCGCCACTCATTTATCAAAATTGTACACTTGTTAGGCCTTCAATAAAAAATGAATCCGGTCTACACGTGACCTAGTTGAAGACTAAATTTAAATAAATTAATGCGTACCCTCTCCATAACTTATGCTTTTAGATGAAATTATTCAACAAATGATAAAAAATTGGTGCTAGGTCACGGTTATGCTCATGGAGGAACCCTTCCACATTATAATTGGGTTTTCATTATTTGAATTATGTAATTGGACAATCAAGAATTGAACCCTCTCCATCTATTGCAAGTTTGCTTCGCTTTGGTGACTTGACAATTGAACTATTTGTTTCTTTATGCTTGTGTTGCTTCCTCTCCCGTCTGTAGGGGTTAAAAAAATCAATCTATAAAGCTGCTAGCTTATCTTTGTACATGGCATAGTAGTAGTTCCAGAAATGCACACCAAAAAATACTGGCTTGCTCTAGTTCACATAGCTGATATAGCTTGCATTACACGTACATCATATTGAGGTCCGTTTGCAGGTATCTGTCTGCAGCTTTTGGTGGATTTAAGGAACCACAACGACGTGCAATATCCATTGAAGTAAGATCTGTTTACCATTTACTGATCTCCTAATTTAGTTTGCCTTCAAATATCCTTATTGATCTCTGTTTGAACTCGAAGCAAGGATCCAGGCTTGTTGATTTCCTAATACAATCTTTTAAGCTCACAAAGACAAGTAAATTTTATTTTTGAATCGATATTGCTATGCAGGTTGGTATGCAGAATTCTTCATTAGGAGTGGTTTTAGCAACCACCCATTTCACCTCAGGCATGGTTGCATTACCTGCAGCAATGTCAGCTGTAATTATGAATATAATGGGCAGCAGTTTAGGTTTCTTTTGGAGATATGTTGATCCATCTGATCCAAAGGACAACCTTAAAGTTGACCAAGAGTAATGTGATGTTAAATTCTGGAGGATGGTTTATTTCTGCTGTGGAGGTTTGCATTCTTTACTTCTCAAGCCGTTCAGATCAATAGGGATGTTGTGCTTTCAATTGATTTTGTGCTTTGTAATGTTTCAAAAATCGGCCTGGACATTGATTCAGAAAAAGGGAAAGGGTCAAAGGTCGAACTTAGCCACGTCAATAAAATAGAGTTTCCACGATAATAAAGTAACAGTTGAATGAGTGCAACGTGAAAGAAACGACAATAAAAGGGCAATCGTGCAATGGTGATGAAATGAAATGACACAAACGACGATAGATGCCAACCAACATAAACAGCAGTAATACCATTAGAAGAAAGAAAAGAGAAGTGATGAAGAAAAAAAAACACCAGAATCGGTGGAAGAGAAACCATTAAAAGCTGTTTTGGAGATTAAGAAGTTGCTTTTAAACATATTTGAATAATTTTTTGGAAGTATTTTATTTGTCTTGGAGAGTTTTTAGAGGAAGTCGACTTAAGATATTTTCATCAGAAAAAACGAAAGTCCTACCAAGTGGTTCAAAATTTCATCTCTTTATAAGTTGATTTCCCGAAATATTTGTGGTTCAATCTTGTTCATCTGTAATCCACTCTTGCATTTAACATACTTAACTCAAATAAAATGAAAAAGTTTGATTTTAAAGTCTAAGCTCCTGTTTGGTGGGATTAAAATGAGATTTTTAGTAGATTTTAATAGATGTTGATAAAATGCTTGGTTGAAAAGTTGTGAAATCCATAAAATAAGTGGTTGAAATGAATTATTGATTTTAATTTAGATTAAAATTTAGATTTTAATTGGTATCAGACATTAGCTAAAAGTCGAGATATTTTTGTAAAGTATTTTGGCACATGATGGTTCAAACCTATATCAAAGCATGCAAGTCGATTCGATTCAATTTACATGAATAATCAGACCTATATCAAAGTATGCAAGTCGATTCGATTCAATCTACATGGATAATTGAAGACCAACTTTCCAGCATAACCTTTTATTTTACAAAAGAATGAGACAGCTGATTCCAAAATTCCAATGGGGCTAATATGACTTGGGTGCCTATTCCATGAAAATGAGAGTTCTAATAAAGTTTAGTTGAGGGCACTAACCGTGTCTGCCATGAGCGCCGAAGGGTCACCGCACTAACCTTGTCTAATCCGAAGGATTAACAATGGGACCAAATGACCCTTCCATGATCAAATTTGTTGTTACATTAAAAAATCTGCACATGGGAGGGCTACATGAATGTGATGTGACATAATGTCATAGTCGTACGTTTGATGTACAAAATTTTAATTTTTCACTATTGTCCCCCACGTTTATTAAGGCCCTGTTTGGGAGGGGTTAAATTTTTCTATAGTAAATCAATTCTCATTTTTAACCACACATTCTTCAATAAAATAATATTTTCCATCACATCAATAATTTTTTCTTCTTTTTCAACCACAAATTTCCCATCATATCAATATTCAAAACCAATTTTTTCTTCAAAAATCTCTCCCAAACAAGCTTTAAGTTTGATAAGGATTAAAATAAGATTTTCAAAAAATTTTGATAAAAGTTGATAAGATGCGTAGTTAAAAAGTTATGTATCTATAAAATATATGGTTGAAATCAATTGTTGACATTGGCGTAAATTAAAATAAAAATAAAAATTTTAATTTCTACCAAACCAGGACTATATATGCCTTGAAAATTATTATCATTGTTATAAAATTAAAAGTAGTAAGAAGTAATGGGACTAAATTACTATGTCAACACGAGACTACGAAACCTATCATGTTTCGTAAGAGCTCATGTCGATAATTGTGATATTTTATAATATTTTTGGCATTTTCTTGATGTGCAAATTTATGTGTTTTTATGTCTCGCCAATTCTTTTATGATACTTAGTCTATAGAGAAAAGATCTACTAAAATGTAACATGATAAATAAATTTATAGAGTTAATTCCACGTAGAACCGTTTTCTCAAAATAATAAATGTATATGACAATTTTATTGGAGCAATAATTAGTTTCTCTCCTCAATACGTGAAAGGGTTAAGGGTCAAATCAGGTAATAAATTCAAACACAATGTGGTAATGCGGCGACATGCCTCTATCACAAACGTAGTCAATTAAACTTATCAAACATCGAATAATATTTCACTATTAATCGAAAGGCTCCGATGGAGCTATGTTTGGCAAAATTTATAAATGATCAAACTTTATAAATTAAAATGCTTGCTCTCCATACATCTAGTTTACATTCTTGTAACTAACAACAGTAAAAATGCACTTAAATTGAAATGTCCATCATTTCCATTGCCAAAGTTTTGGGTTCAATCTTGTTCATCTGTAATCCAATCTTGCATTTAACATACTTGACTCAAATAAAATGAAAAAGTTTGATTTCAAAGTCTAAGCCCCCGTTTGGTGGGGATTAAAATCGGGTTTTTAGTAGATTTTAATAAAAGTTGATAAAATGTGTGATTGAAAAGTTGTGGGATCCATAAAATAAGTAATTGAAATGAATTATTGATTTTAATTTAGATTAAAATTTAGATTTTAATTGGTACTAGACGAGGGCTCAAAGTCGAGATATTTTTGAATAATCAGACCTATATCAAAGTATGCAAGTCGATTCGATTCAATCTACATGAATAATCAGACCAATATCAAAGTATGCAAGTCGATTTGATTCAATCTGCATGGGTAATCGAAGACCAACTTTCCAGCATAACCTTTTATTTTACAAAAGAATGAGACAGCTGATTCCAAAATTCCAATGGGGCTAATAAGACTATGGTGCCATTATTCCATGAAAATGAGAGTTCTAATAAAGTTTAGTTGAGGGCACTAACCGTGTCTGCCATGAGCGCCGAAGGGTTACCCCACCAACGGGGCATTATTATGATTGGCTAATTTGGCTTGATTGACTAGGCTTTTTATAAAATTGGTTAAAAAGTCCATATTACCCTTAATGATATGAATTTTCATTTATTGCAAGACATATCCTTCTCTTATGTCAAATTCATTCTTTGCTCCAAACAATTAGTATATTCTTCAATTTCTTGTTTTTATTCTGCAAATTCTAATCATTTTTTGTATATTATAAATATTCTTTTAATTTAGAAAGATATAAT